GAAGTCAAATCTGTACCATTTTGGGTGGTTCAGAAGTCAAATCTGTACCATTTTGGGTGGTTCAGAAGTTCCCAAGTTACAAAGCAGCAGTAGGATATACTTACTATAACTTAATTAAATGCATGCACATTGAGTCCACAGAAATATATACTTATACTTCGTTTTGTTTATGTTGCTTAGGACTAAAAGCTTTTTCCTGCACTATTGCTGCTGCAATAAACTCAGGTCTTTATATAAAATATATATATTGGCTGTTTCTTTCCAATTAGATTATTTTACTCTAGTCACAGAGCTGTTAGCTCGTCTGGCCCTGTCATTTTCCCCCCTAGTAACTGCAAGTGCAGTTAAAAAAATAAAGGGGCAAGGATGACGGCTGTGTAACAGGGAAAAGTTAAAACACCCTAACCACTCGTTGTAGTCTTTTTATTATTATCCCACTTCTGTGCGTTAATGAGGCAACAGCCAACCCCTTTATGCTTTAGGCCTAAATTGCCCTCTGCCAAACTTTTTCTTCAAACTTCAGTTGTGTTTCAAGCTTAGATTCACAAAAAGTAGGCTGCCTCAGTTCATTACACTTTCAAATGTTACTATGATGTATTTGGTGATCACTTAGGCCTGGTCTACACCGGGGGTGGGGGGAGGGGGGATCGACCTAAGATACACAACTTCAGCTACGAGAATAGCGTAGCTAAAGTTGACGTATCTTAGTTCAACTTACCTCGCGTCCTCACAGCACAGGGTCGATTGCCGCGGCTCCCCCGTCGACTTTGCTTCTGCCTCTCGCCGAGCTGGAGTTCAGCAGTCAACGGGAGAGCGATTGGGGATCGATTTATCGTGTCTACACTACACGCGATAAATCGATCCCCAATAGATCGATCGCTATCCAGCGGGTAGTGTAGACGTACCCTTACAAAAGGCCAGATCCTGATACCCTCACACATGTTGGGTAGCTGCTTCCTTCTAGGAAGCACCTGTGATTTCAATGAGTGTGTTCAGAATTAACATACTATGCAACAAGTGTTAGGAAATCAAAATCCGGACCAAAGTTTCTCAAATGTTGCTTGGGGCTATTATGCAAAAGTGAAGTTGTTTCTTGTTTGATTGGTAACAGACAAAGTCTCTCTCTCTCTCTTTTTTTTTTTTAAGCAAATCCACGTTCATTGAAACATCTTTGTCGTCTGAAGATTCGGAAATCCATGGGTCATTTGCGTCTGCGTTGTCCTGTCTTCATGACCTTCCTTCCACTGCCCAATCGTTTGAAAGAATATATACTGTACAAAGAATATGATCTTTATGGCCAAGGAAACTGGATAGGAACCCACTAACCCAACTGCATAGAATCATAGGCCTATATTTTGGAGAGAGTATGCAAGTGGACAAAGACTGTATTGTATGCAATTCTTTTTCTCTACTGGGATTTCAGCTTCTAAAAACCAACAAGTCACTTTGGTGAAAATTTTTCTGGATAAAAATAAAAAAAGTAGAGTACAGAAAAAGTATTGGAAGCCCAACATGTAGCCCTCATAGCAGAAAAAGCGTCCAGAACTTAACAGAAGCAAATCCAGGTAATGGCAATAATATTTTAAAGTTATCTAGCATAAGGTCAGCATTTTCAAACAACATATGGAATGGGAAGTGTCCTTCAAGATATGTGGGTCAGATTGTAACCAGGAGTTCAAATTCTTCTCCAAACTTCTTTGGGCTGCAACTCTTGCTATACTTCTACATCCTGCTTCTGTTGAACCAAAGTACTGTCCTAACAACCTACATTGGGGTATTTCAGTTTCTGACTAGAATCAGGGAGAGGCTTTCCCCCTGCTCCCACCCAAGAAGAGCTGGGAGGAAGATGAAGTTGTTTGACAAGGTTTTGACTTATTACGGTTTGTTATTTCATCCAATTAGCCAGTCCCCAATTTTGAGCAGTGAAATGGGGTTAAAGGCCATAGAATTCTTGTTATAAACAGAGCGCCAGTATGTAGTGAAACATTCACCGTTTGTTTTTTTATTAGACATCTACTTTCCTGTTAGATAGAGTAGTTCCACATCTCATTCTTGGTACTTAAATGTCCTGTCACCATAGTAATTAAGCGCTGGTCTACATATAATATGACCTAGAGCAATCTTATTTTTTCCTCTTAAAAGTTATAAGGATGTCCACAGATATTTGGAGTATATTTTGGACCAGCTCCCTCAATTTCTCACCTATTGCCATATTTTGGGGACGAGTTTAGAGAGTATTAGTTGAATTTTGCATACGTGGCATTTGAATACCATCCGATGCAATGTTAATACAGAACTTGGAAGATGTAAAATGTGAATTATGATTAGGCCCGGTGGGTGATAAAATGGAGACCCTTTCTCTAATGGGACTTGAATATTTCAAAAGGGCACATTATTGGATACTGTCGTAAGATCAGTCACTGCTGTATGGGAGGAAAAGGCAATGCCACTATGCACTGAATAATGCTTTGGATATACTTATGTATTAATTATGAATTTGCACTACAATACAGTGCAGTACATAGCTAAACATTTATAAACCCTTACATTTCTCAAAGCTAGGAACAGTCAAGTGTGCAAAATACTGCAGAAGAAACAAATAGATATATAAAAATGAGCAGTTCAATAAACGTGACAGGCATTAATAGTATTTATTTTTTCATAATCAAGTTTATATTCAGGTAAGTATAGATTTTTATTTATACATGCATTTGTATCACATAATTCAAAAGTCCATTTCCCCCTCAGAAAAATCTATAAACTTTATAAAATACAGATTGGACTAGTATCTTATGACTCATAGCTTCTTACAGGGTGTCTACTCAAGTACTGAACAAAACTAATAAGCAGGTGGGAAATATGCATTAGTAGCTGTATTAATGGGTCTGACACTATCAGGTTGTGCTGGTAAAACTTCTGTACCCATCAATTCTGTTCATTAACATAACCGCAGTTCTTTAGAAAGTGCGATGCATGCATGTGACAAAACAAACAAGATGTGCATTAAAACAGCTAACTAATGTAACAAGAATGTTTTCCTTTTCTGTTCAGTCTTCGATAGTTCCAAAAATAAATCAGAATAACTCCCCTCCGTTTTGTTTTTATTAAATACAATAAAGTGTTTCACTGAATATATCTGGGTAACATTCCTGAATTACTGACAGAATCAAAATACATTTTGACAACATAGGGCTTTAGCTATTTCTGAAACTGTATATTTAGTGGAAAAAGAACAAAATCATATTAGTAATGTGCTAATTTTTTTTGGAAGCAAGCATTAGAAAAAAGACTAGATTTTTTTTAAAGTAAGTCTGTACAATAATCTTTATTTGAATTAAAGCCAACTTTGAACTTTTTATTAGTGAACTCAAATTAACTGAAGCCCTGGCTAATATATTTAATATCTATATTTCTGAGTTTAAACCAATTATCAAATTGATACTAGGCATAACCATTTGGGATGATGATTGCTTTAATACAAATATTCAGGGAACATTTTTATAAGACTCTTAAAAACATTGAAAAATTACTTATACATCACTAGAACAGGACCAATCCAGTACATTATAAAATCACCTGACTATATTTTACAAAATCCTAGGTTTGCATATAAACATTATGGAACACCAATGCAGGCACAATGGCATAGTGACAATATTTTCATGCCAAATTATACATCACTGTAAGCACAAGAAAATTACCTTATTGCCTGTAAAGAAACTTTGGGGGTTCTAGTAAACAAGAGAGTTTCTGTGACAGAGAGCAAGGGAGGAAAGACAAAGTAAGAAGGGTCAATTATTACAATGGACAATGTGTCTTTCCTGAATTCACTCAATACATGAAAAAGTTCTCTCTCAAAAAAGCTGAGTAAGATGCAGACAATGACTGTCTTTGTTTGTGTGTGAATTATAAAGGAATTAACTTGTCAGAAGTTGTGATTAAAGAAACATTACAGATTTATTATTCTCACTTATAACAAATGCTTCACGTTTTTTTTCTGCGGTGGTGGTGGAGGAGGGGGTGTTGGAATATAGTGTGTATTGTGAGATGCAGAGTCATTAAAACAAAACAAAACAAACAACCCCTTAAACCTATCTGCAATTCTTCAAATTACGCAAAAGTGAAAAACAGACTACCTGCAGGTTAGGATAGACATTTTGTTTAGAGATTATTAATCACTAATTAAACAACCCTACCTTCTTCTTAAACCCAGTGCAATTGTCAATTCTAATTTATAAAAATAAACATACACATAGGGCCTATATCCAGAATAAATCCACTGAAGACTAATTATCTCTAGAATTACTCTGAATTTACACTCACGTAATTGAGCACAATTGACTAGATTTCAGAAGAGGAAAAAATCCGCTAATTCCTATTGTTAAAACATGGAGTCAACGCCAACATCATGATTACTGACAATGTTTCATCTGATTTTCTCTTCCAGACCCCAGAAATAATGTAATACACTACATATGCCAATGCGTTTCTTAATTGACTGCATTCAGTTCCTGAGGGGACACCACCATGGACCTTTTAAACTTGATTAGAATGGCAGTGTCAAAAGAAAAACTTTTCCTGGCTATGAGGGGGATATACACACAGCATAACACAATGCATTATATAGCCATAAACGCCCATCCTTACATACATAAAGAATGTATGTAACAATACCTAGGTTACCCTGAAACATGTGAACATCAGCATTTACCTCTTAGATGAATAAAACTGGATATTCACCTGAATAAAATTTAAGCCTACATCATGCAACAAGCATGATAACCACTTATTTTTTAGTTAAGTGGTGACAACTATGAGGATACAATTTAGCAATAAAAAAGATGATTAATTCTAACCAACGGTATTGCCACAATAAATGTGTGTTAAATGGCATTTTAAACTCTTATTTCTAGGTAACTGAGCTTTTAAAAGGCCAAACATACTGGTTTCACATGTTGTAGGACCATGACTTCAGGTGCTATAGATAATATAATTTACCCAGTAGCAGAAAGATGGGAGGGCAAAGTATTTAAATAGAAGTGAAAACTGAATGAAGAGTTTCTAATCAATATTTCAACATTCACTTTGATAGCAATCTACCAACCATAGCCAAACATTAACGTAGGAAAAGCCATGCCAAATTGGCTAACTTAAGAACATGGAGCTTATGTTTTTTAAAGAAGTATTACTTAGAGTCTCTGCATGCCACTCAATCATTGTCATTTATTAAAAATTTACAAAAATCTTGGCAAAACCACTTTTCCCCCCAATGATTGACTTGCAAATTTTACACAAAATGTGGTTCCAAAATCTGTTACATATGGAAAAAAAATCACCTCCTACAGCTCCCAGAAGCTAACCTGAAACCACTGTTTGAAAGGAGCAATTACATTTGGAAACTAACACACATTCACACATGTTCTGCTGGGTAAAATCCACTCCACACGGCCAGACAGCTACTTTGACATAGGCTATGTAACAATAAAGCTGGAAGGTAATACTACCCTTCATGAGAGCGGGATGGTACCTTATTAATCTGCTTTATACCACAGGGCTGATCTATCCTTCAACCACTGTCTACTAGTAATTGGCCTTGTTCTTCATCCTTCCATCTCCCTTAGCAGTGACTTTAGATCCCTTCCAGACTATGGCAGTAGGCTCACTAGCCCTACCTGCTTACTCACTGCCAGAGCAGGGGTACCTCTACACAGCCAAAGCTGTGCACAGGCTAGTCTACCTGAACTAGCTTGAATCCCAATAGTGTGGATAACCGTAGTAATGAAGACAGCACAATGCAGGGTTCAGTGCAAGTAGTACGAGCCCAGCACAGACCTTGTGTATATATTCTGCTTGCTCACGCATGCCACGCTGTTTTACCTGCTACTGTACTCTCAGTAGCTAGATTCAAACTAAGTAAAGTAGGCTAGCCCCACGCATAGCTTTTGCTGCGTAGATACACCTTAAATGAGACCAGTGCCCTGCCGTGGCCCAGCGCCATGAGAATTCATAATTCAGAGGGAAAAACGATCGCTCCCAGTTGCTATGAGGCCAAGGGAGACCTGCATGAAGGGAAAGGCAGGAAATACAGGGTCTTGTAAAAAAATTACCAGTACGTGGCCCCATATACATGAGGCGTGGGTGGTTCTATCAGGGGTAACTCTGGCAAACCCCTCTCAGCTTTGAAGTAGTTCTGGGTCACAGATCCAGGCACCCCCATCTCTCAAGCACTGCAAACTAAGTATGCCTGACCTCTCTCACTACTAGCCTCATCTCCATCTCTTCACTTTAGCCCCCTAATCTCCTTGAGCATGCACTCTCCTCATCCTGCCTCCACTTCCTTCAATGCTCTCCCTGGATCGCCTTACATCTGTTTTTAATTCCCTGTAGGCAATTAAACTGTTTTACCAAGTCTAAACACCTCTCTTTTCAGTCACTTCAAATACCTCCCGTTTCCTGGGGATCACCCACTTTATTCAATTTCTTTCTTAAGGTACTTGCAACATCAAGAAATGGGTTTTCAGCTTCTTTTTAGTAGCCGAGTCATGCTAAGATGCTAGAAAAAAGATGCTTCTTGCTCCTCAACTATCAGGCTCAAACAACTATCTATCATGACATTAATGCAGAAACTAAGAAACAAATGGAAGAGATGCAATAATATCAGGTCACATCTTAAAGACCCACATACCATAATAAATTCCACACACCTCTTCCCTCTTATTCCGTGTAGAGCCTTTCCAGGCTTAAGTAAGTCTAATATTTATGCTAGGGTACTTTAACAAGAAATGAAATAGTCTAAATATCTATGACTCCCTGTGAGCCATGGACAGCTAGACTCAGGATAACTAAACCAGCTGGCTTAAAAGCCAAAGGATAAGAAAAAAATAATCCCAAAACGTTTTTAGAAACTCTTAAAACATTCCTCTAAAATGGTTTCTGTGAAATATGTAGAAAAAGATTAGGCGTTGACTATCATGACTGAAGTGACTTGTTTAACTTACAGAATGGTTGAGAATAAATTAAACTATTTAGGTAGTGCTGATAATCAAAAATTAAATGGCAAATTCCCAAGGCTTTCAATGGCCCCTCTGGGAGATCATCTATCCTGCTGACTCACAATTTAAAGTTGCTGGGAGTTGGGACAATTCAAAACCCTTGAATGGAGCAAGACCCACCCTATTCTGCCTGCTACTTGCTGGCATCACACCAGGCTCTCTCTCCTGTCCTGTAAACATGGCATGCTTATGAGTGGACAGAAGGGTTTGGGGGCCTGGGCCTCCTCCCTAGTCTCCTCTAGGCTGGGTCCCACATTCCCTGGTACAGCATATTTTCCAGGTGCTGCTGCTGCCTTGACCTAATGTGGATGCATTTGATGTCTGTAGGCTTCCAAAAAGGATATAAAGAATATGATGTATATTTCTTCCTAGGCCCAGGGCGCCATCTCAGTTCATTGACAATTACAACAGGTAAGGTACCTGAGATCTATTATAGTCATTCTGTAGGATCTAAATTTGTATTATTTGTTTTGCTTCCTGCTGTGACTGGATGTTTGCGCTACAATTTTGAGAATCGAGATAACAATTCAATGCTATTTGTCATCTAGTTTGTTATCTAAAGACTGATAGGAACCCTATCCTGACCAAACTGGTAAGTTGTGGCCATTTTCCAGGTTGCAGCCAAGTTTAAGGATTAGTGCAGTCAGTTAATGGGAATCCTGTATTACAAAATCTTCAAATAGATGGGAGTCCAACAACAGTTCCTTTTTGGCAAATAATTTGTCTCTAGCTTTAGACAACATCTAAACTAAAAGAAGGTCAATCTGTAATTCAAAGATATTTATCTAGGTTAGAACACAGCCTTCTGAACACAATTTGTGCATCTCCCCTACAATACCATGTCAGTCAGGTGGAAATTAACTACCCCAGCAAAAGGATACTGTCAGAATAGCCCTCTAACAAGCTATACTAATTCTATGTAGTGTTCAGATATGCACACTGATTGGTATGAAAGTCCCAACAACCAATGGGAGCAAACAATCCCAATTCTCTGAAATATCCCTTCAATAAGAATAATGCAATAAAGCTTAAGGAAAATTTTAAATTGAATATCAAGAAAACTTCAAGTTGATACTGTCTCCCACATGAAGTGTGGTGGCTGTTGCACTTAATTGGCCAATCCACTAAGCAATCCTGCACAGGGACATAACTAGATCACTTAATAAACTAGAAACTGAAAAGACATGATTTCATATTCTTCCCGTGGGTTTTTGGAAATTTTTACTTGGATTTTAAGCAGGTAGAGGCGGCAGATTATGAGATGCAATAAGCATGAAGTAGGCTGTCACCTGGTCTCCAAGAAGGGGATGCTGGTGAAAAAAATATAAGTGAGCAAAGTTAGCCAGAAATGTAAGCAGCCAGAGCAAATTGCGGAGATAGAAAGTCCAAAACTCCTGGTGCCATCCAGCCTAGGATCAGGAACAGGGAGAAAAATCTGCCTTCGGATCTTCAAGTTGGCAAGAATAAATGGGCAGTCTTCTAGATTGGAGGATAGCTATTCATGGGAATGGCTGTAGACAGTAAATTGTATAATGAATAAGAAATTACATTTAGAACATGTAGAAAACCTTATATAAACTGGAAAATATACGTAAGTGGAAACTGACCCAGAGATACAACTGTATTTTCATGTTTAGTACATTTCCTCTCATTACTGTACTACACTAGATTTTCCCTGACACTGATACATAACTGCATCTTCTGTTCATTGGACTTCACTATATACAGTAATCGGTGCAAAAATAAATAAATTCTCTTACATTAACTGGTTTCCTATTCAGGATGATAAGGTCAAAGCACTTTTGATATAGTACAAAATAAGTTATGTACATCATGCAGTAGTATGGAGATCAGACTTAAGAGCTGTAAGCAGACACCTTTGAAAAATGCTTCACGCAGTTTAGGTAGAAAGTAGGATTTGTATGCTTGCACCCTATTGCTATTAAATATTTTTTGCAAAATACATTTACATGCAATGACCCAAAAACACCTTCCCGCTCCAAACTCTTTCTAGTAAATTTTGTGAACTGGTTCTAAGATATGTGGGTATTTAGCAGATCTTCAAACAGCTGGTTCAATCCAACATTTTCACAATGTTAACATACTTTTTATTATAAAGTAAACCCCAAGTACAGGACAGTTAACTACAGTTCCATGACAGAGAACTGAGAATGTAGTACATTCACTTCAAAATGAGAATACAGTGTTTATACCCCCTGAAAGTAAAAGAGTTTATAACACAATTCCCCATGCACCAAGATGCAAATACATCTTTCTAATTCTTATCTAGGTTAAATGGAGTCAAATCTTTTTTACCATCCAAGAAAGTGTCCTAAGTTATATTAAAAAGAAAATGGACACAGTACCATCCAATTCAACATAAAACAAATATTAAACTCTCTCGCTCATCAATCTAAAATTATTGCACATTTATCTGGTGTTACTGAGGATTAATTTTTTTTATAAACCCAGAAACAATTCTCGGCAACAGTAATTAGATACAGCTTAGCATTGTGTCAGTTCAAAGCCCACTTTTGTTCCTCACAAAATGTTCTGTGTACAGCAATTTAAAGAACAATATTTCAGTGTACTGTTGAAGCCCAATCAGAAGATTAATTTTTGCTTCAAAACAGTCAGCTGTACAATCAGATAAGTGAAAAAAGTTTCCATAATTAAGAGAAGTCTGAAAGATGTAATTCTGTAGCAAACATGGCAATGTCACCATGCTTCTTTATGACACATGGAAGAAGGTACATATTTACATTAAAAGGCAAAGTTAGTTAATGAATGTTTAAAAGAAAAAACAACAAAGTATAATCTGGTCAGCATATTGTTAAGTCTTCTATATAATAAGCATATCCTCCACCTCTATTTTGTCTTCTTGCGTAATTTGTGCCATTTCACCACAGATACGTCCAAAGATTCCAGTTTTAACAAGATCAGTAGCCTCATGCTTCGGACTCCCTTTTCTTCTTCCCATCTTCTCCCAAATCACTGTCTTCTGACTGGCTACTGCTAAGGACTACAAATTGTCCCTCTCCACTGCTCTGAATGGGTCTACTGGAAGCAGCTATCAATCGGCTCTGCTCTTCCAAGTCCTAATATGGGAGGCAGGGAGGAAGAGAAGGGGGGAAAATATTCACTTCAGAACTTTCCACAGTGAAAACAAATTCCAGTGCCCCTCTGCAAAGGTGGAAATTATCTTATTTAGAGCTATGCACTGGCAACTTGATTAGGAAATGCTTTGAAGAGAGAAATTTAAAAGATTCTATAGGAAACCAAGAAAAAAAACAGTTACTCACCTTCTCGTAACTTTTGTTCTTCAAGATGTGTTGTTCATGTCCATTCCAAGCAGGTGTGCACGCCAGCCGGAAGATTTTGCTATAGCAGTGTCCGTAGGGTCGGCTTCGGCGCCCCCTGGAGTGGTGCCTTCATGGCGCTGTATATAGGGGCCAGCCGACCCTCCACCCCCTCAGTTCCTTCTTGCCGACACTCCGACAGAGGGGCAGGAGGGCGGGTATTGGAATGGACACAAACACCACATCTTGAAGAACAACAGTTACAAGAAGGTGAGTAACCATTTTTTCTTCTTCGAGTGATTGTTCATGTCCATTCCAAGCAGGTGACTCACAAGCCCGAATCTAGGCGGTGGGATCGGAGGTCACTGCAGACTGGAGTACTGCATGGCCAAAGGCAGCATCATCTCTGGCCTAGTGCGTAGTGCGCTGTAAAGGTGTGGATTGAGGACCAGGTGGCCGCTCTACAAATTTCCTGCGTCAGGACCTGAACCAGGAACGCAGCGGAAGAGGCCTGCGCTCTTGTGGAGTGGGCCGTGATAGGCAGGGCTGGTATATTGGCCCGACTGTAGCACTCCCAGATGCAGGTTCTGATCCAAGCCGAGATTCACTGTGACAAGACCGGGAGCCCTTTCATCCTGTCGGCCACGGCGTCAAAAAGTTGGGTTGATTTCCTGAAGGATCTTGTCCTTTCAATATAGAACGCGAGAGCCCTGCGAACGTCCAGGGAATGCAGCCTACACTCCTTCGCCGAGGAGTGCGGTTTCAGATAAAACACCGGGAGAAAAATGTCTTGACCCATGTGAAATGGGGAAACCTCTTTAGG